TTGATATGTGAATTTTATATCAAGAAAACTACTAAAAATAATAAATAAACTAAAGTTGACCAATGGTTGCCATAGACAGGAGGAAGTTTTTGTTTACGAGACATTGAGTGTATGTTAATCGTGGTACAATATTTTGGAAAAGGATAGCAATAATGATTGCACAGTATGAATAGTATAATCAATAGCACTGAATTATACATGTAGAAGGTGTTAAATTGGAGAATGTTACCACAATTAAAAAATAATTACATTTATAACAATGAGCACAAGGAAGAAGGCATTCTAAAATTGATTGTGGTAATTTTTTTATAACACTTCTTGATATGTGGATGAAGAACCAATAAAACTGTTTTTAGAAATGGATCTCAAAAGAGACTCAGAAATTTGCTCTAGAATCTAGAGGACAGATATGGCCCCATATCATTTTTACACATCCTAACATAAAGTAAATAAAAATCTTCACAACTGGGCCAATAAACAACATCATTATAAACCAAGACTGAAGTTGTCCTTTTTTTAAAAAAAAACTTGGATTCACAATCATGCCCATGGAAACAGCAGTCAAGAAGTCAAACAGCATTTTGCATTGGGCAAGTTTGCTCCTCTTTAAATTGTTAAAAAGTTACAATGTCACCCTGAGCACTAAGCTATATCTAACCCACGCCAAGCTAGGTATTTTCAGTTCTCTCATATGCAATTAATAAGGAAAACTGAAGAATTGTTGCCTTTGAATGCTTGCAAAGAAAATTGAAAATACCACGGACTGGCTGAAGAACAATCAAATCTACTTCTTAGAAGAATGGATAGCTTCACTTTGTCTCCTTACTTTGGTAAGATCATCAGGAGAGATTTGTATTTGGAAAAAGAGACCATGTTTGGTAGATTAGAGGAAAACCCCTCAATAAGATGGTTTAACAAAGAGGTTGCAGCAAAATGTTGAAACCTAACAATGATTGGGGACACGGCATGGGATTGGGCATCATTTTTGTCTGTTATACCTTAGATTATTATGAGTTGGAATTGACTCAATAAATTCTAACAAGAACAAACAAATTGTCCCCTTATTCAAAGTCATGCCTGTGTTTAATAAGTTAGAGATCTATATGAATGTGTTTCATATGTATGTGTTAAGTATGTTCATATATGATAATATGTGTACTATCTTGAATATAGCTCACAGATTAGTGAAGCTTCCTGAGGCATATAGAGCATTGTTTCCTGGTCCAGTAGAGACAAGTCTCTTTATAAATGTGCCCTAAAACTGAAAGCTCTCTAAAGTACCTGTTCAAAAACTTGGACAGTTTTTCATGATTAACTTTACAACTATACAATCATATAGAAAATTCAGGAAAAAAATAGCCTGCTCCCCTAATTTAATTAGTTTTTGGTTCTTGTCAAAATTTTACTTTGGGACTTGAGGACTGAGGGAGGGAAATATATAAAAAGTGATCCCTAGAATTCAGTCATTTTGAGTGTAATTCATAGAGTTTAAAATTAAGACAGTGAATGCCCCCTGGCTTAGATGGCAATGGATATGCTAGTTACCAATTAGTTGTCATCTCTTAATACAAGGCTGGTTGTCTTAGGACATGCTCCAAATGCAGTGAGTAAATGAATTTAGTTACAATCCAGAGACTGAATCTCAAATCTCAGGCTGTTTACCCCCACATGATCACAAAAAGAAGGGAAGAAAATCAGGCTGGATTTGTCAGATGTCTTAGGATGCTGAACAATCAAAGAAGGAATTCGGCCGGAATAGTAGCAGTGAAACATCAATTTGTAAATAGTAATTAAAGTTACAGGTCCACTCTGCAGATTAGGATTGGCATAATTTTCTGATTTGCATTTCTTTTTAAGTGCTTTCTAGTTGAACTCACGACTATTCAACATCTATAAAACTGCAAAGCACTGTGGGAGGAAGAGCCCCAAGTCAGAGTTTTATAATGGTTTTATAATCTAGTTTATATTGTGGGATTTTACGAAGCAAAGGCAACTTGAGATATAGGGACTATTGTTGTTAGAAGTCTTGTTAGAAGATCTGTACAAAAGAAGAAAACCTGCCTGCTCCCTTGCCACCCTCAGTTACTGTTACTTTTGAACTCAACACTATTGCACCCACCTTGCCATTCTAGTTTGTTGAGCAGCTGCCTCTTTTGCATGGTTCTAACACAACACTTAACAAAACAACACATGATGAAAATCAACAATAACTTGACCTTTGTGAGGTTCAATTTGGGTTATATGGAATAGGTTTAAAACTATAGTGAAAGGGCTAGTGGGAAAGACTGCTTTTTAAGAAGAAATCATTACCTTTGAATTTGAGATAAAGCAACTAAGACTAAGTAAGACCCATCCTCTGTTACTAGAATACAGGGGAAAGACTTTTGTGATAAGAAGAGATAGTCTACGAAGATATGCATAAGAATTGTGGCATTCATGAAAGATAAGTTTTCTTAGGGCATAACAATTAAGTCACTCACTGCTTGACTTCCAAAATAAAACATAAAACATTTAGTAGTAATATAAATAGAGATGTAATGGAGATCTTAATGGAGATTGACTCCAAGAAATGGAAAATTGGAAGATACAGTAGGAAGTGAAGTGTTCATGCCAAGTAAAAGATGTTTAGCTCCCCTAGTTGCAAGGTTTTAAATGGCATGCTTTTTATCTTTGTGAATTTCAATTAGGCTCTGCAATGATGAAGTCAGGAAGGGAATGTTAATGATGGAGGAGAAAGCTGGGTGGTACTTTATTCTTCACAGAGCAGCTGAACAGAGCAAATGCTTGGTTAGGTTGTAGTAAATTCAATCCTCATTCAGAGAGTGGCGATTAAGAGGTTAAAAAGGACAGCTTGAAAATATTTACAATGTAAAGATTCTGACTCACATACCCTTCAAAGTCAAGCTAAATTTTACTGTAGATTTAGTGGCTGCTGTTATGAAAACTGCACTCGCTAAGAAAAACATCTGAATTTTTGGTGCATACTAACAAAACTGACGTGTTTGGCACATAATGATTCTGAATATATCAGCGTTCTGATCTTCCCTCCCTCCACCTTCTTCTTAAAAAGGTGTCTAATGTTTATAACTTCTGGAGGAGATAAACATCTGCTCCACTTTGCTTTAGGAAAATTTGCATAATACTCTGTTTTATGTGCAGTACAAAGGAAAAATCTCTCTCTCTCTCTCTCTAGTTCAAGTTGAACATTTGAAATTTTATCACCTCAGATAAAAAAGAAGGGAGACTGATCAAACATACAATGATGGATGCGGAACAATGGCACTGGTATTACAACAGGTCCCTTTATGACCAGAAAGCACGAAAGGGAGGCCATCTCAACCCCAATACAACCCGCTTCACTCCATCCCCCACTTCCACCCCCACTCCCACTACACACACACGAATTATACACGAATGAATTGAAGAGTAGGTTCGCTTTTACTCTACGGTAATGTAAACTTTTTAGAGTTTCAGCACCAGGGAGAGAAGATGCTTATGCAAAGATGATGGGCAATGAATTGCTGAGCGGGAGCTCAGGTTTTAAGAGGTGTATATGCTGCAAAAGCACTTTACCAATCACCCCTCTGCGCTATCGCGGGGAAATGGGTCCGGCTGGCAGAAGTCGGGTACACTGAGTGGGTTACATCAGGAGGGCTCAGGAAACCCGAAAGCAAAACGGAAAACAAGATAGAAACTCCCTGCGTCTGACTCCACACCACATGCGTTGAACTTGGCCTTGCGTGGAGGCGCTGATGACTCAATCCGGGCGTGCTGAGTGCCTTCGCCCCCCAGCGGGAGCGGTCCCTCTTTACCTCTTCCCTCCACGGCCGCGT